TTATCAACTTTATGTCGATAATTTTGAAAACTTACATAAAATAATTAAATTAGAAATTTATGTGGGGGAAAAAAATTTACTCAAAGAGAAATGGGGAAGCCTAAGAACTTTGGTGACCAACTCAGGGCCCCTGCCTTCGTTTCCAGGAAGGACCCAAAGCGACCCCCGTCTCCCACTCTGGAACTGAGACTGGTTAATATACTAGCACTTCAGGGTTAAAGTGTTGAATTTGTTTCAGTTACACACAAAAATGAATAAAGGTAGCTGTGGTGATAAAAATATAAAATAAGTGACAACCATCTACAACATCAAGTTTAGATCAGAATAAAGCTATAAGATGATTCTAAAGGATTCTAATTCTTATTTTTTCTTAGCTAAGATTTTTAAAATTACTTTAATTTTGAGAAAATATGCCTTGAGGAATAGCTGCTATTCAGTTCTGGCTAACAGTGATGACCAATTGAGCTACTCATGTTTTAGCAAAAATCAAAAAAGAAAATTTAAAAATCAAAGCTGATTTTTAAATGTGAGCACTTTTCAGATTCTGAGAAAATAAAGTAATTCAGAGATTGGTAACTAGAGTCAATAGATTCAAAGGTTTCTATTTTAAGTGATGAGACTGTTTTTAGTTTCTGATGAAATGATGGTTATGAAATATGGCTATTTTTCTCTAAAACATGCTACCATAGGACTTAATCTCTTGGAGTGATCTGTAAACACTACATTGTTCTGATTCTATTCCTGCATCAGCACATAGTTAGTTGCATGCCCTTTAAAAAGAATTATCCTCTGTGAGTAAAGTTGCCAGATAAAATACAGCATGCCCAGTTAAATTTGAATTTCAGATACACAACAAATAATTTTTAGTATAATTAAATGTTGGGGTCCAGCCCCAGCAGGTCCAGGGGTTCCCAAAGGTGTGGACGGAGTCGGCGAAGAAGGAATGACATGGAGACAGCTTTAAGTTGATCAGCAGCCTAGTCAGGTTCTCTAGCCAGGATCTCCAGCCAGGTTCTGTGTGTTACTGTCTTGTTACATCTGTATTTATACCAGTTAATTTTAATCCTATCAATTTCTATTCCAAAGGTTAGGGCATTTCTTATCTCCACTAGAGGCCCGGTGCACAAAAATTTGT